GGGTAGAATTTTTTAGCACAAAAATTCATTTTTTTGGGCAGATTTGGAAATGCATTTTTAGTTGTTTTTTCTGACCCGACTCGAAAAACCTGTACGACCCTACTATTTTGGGTGGGTTTTGGGCACAAATATTCCAGCTTGAGATTGGGCTTTTTTTATTTTGGCCCGACTCGAACACAGCCTGGCCCGCCCAATGATCAACTCTGTCTTTATCAAACATAAGGATTTTCTTTTATCAAACATAGGGTTATTTTTCAAACACAATTAACCTCGTGAGTAACCATGAGTCCATGAAAAATAACATGTTTTATAATGTATTATCGTGTTCTTTTGTTAAAGGCTTTATGTTTTTATGTAATGTCATATTTTTTGTTAAACACGAACATGTTCTTTTGTCAAACACATGTATGTTCTTTTTCAAACAATAATATGTTCTTTTTTTACGTTCATATTCTTTAAAATATGCCTAATGTTCTTTCTGGCTGCACCATGCGCATGGTGCACTATACTATTTTCATAAAGTATATAACAAATGTAGCAAGAATTTCAACATAAATCAGATACTTCATTTGTTTGTTTGCAAACTTGTTTGAATCCTTTCAGCATTTAATAAAGTTGCCATCATAATATTAGATTTTCATAATTTTTACTTACTAAGATACTAAAACTTTTGATAATGGTGATTAATGAAACAAGTCAAGTAAAATTGAAGGATGAAGTATGAACACGACATGTATAATTTCAATACAGAAGCACATAATTACCAAGTAAGATGAGAAGGTTGATATTGGATTATTGGGTGAGCCCACTGTATGCAATTTGGGTCTGCCATATTTCAAACGCCCAATTAAGAAACAAAAGTGAGCAAGCAAGGTCAAATTAAATACAAATGCAAATCCGGTACCCACTAAATAAGGGCACTTTTAATGCAGTTTCAGAGTTTGCGTCCCACACGTTTACATAAAGTACGGCCCAAAAGGTTGGCCTTTTTAAGATCAATAAAGCTCGATCTTGCCGCTTTCCACTACAAATGACTCCTGAAAGTTTTTTTTTTTTTTTTTTTTTTTTTTTTTTTTTTGGGAACTTGTTGAATTAAACTGAACTGAACCAATTGAAGCTGAATTGAATTGTTTAGTAGGGGTGAAACAAATTCGGGTTAAAACCGAACCAAACCGAAAACCGAACCGAATAAGAAATATGGTTCGGTTTTTTTTCGGAAATGGTTCGGTTCGGTTTTTAAAAAAAAAAATAATTCGGTTTTCGGTTTGGTTTCGGTTTGAGGAAATAAAAAACCGAAAAAAACCGAAAACCGAAATTTTGGCCCAACATAAAAAAAACCCTTGGCCCAGCCCAAATTTACCCTAAGTATAAAATCAGAAAAAAAAAAACCCTAAGTCCCTAACCCTCAATCCCTCATTCTCTCTCGGTCTCTCCTAGTCTCCTGACTTCCTCTCCTCTAATCCTCTTGCGAATTTCTCAGTTTCATTGCGAATCCAGATAGCTCACCTTTTCAGTTTCACTCTCCACCGTTGCCGTTCACCACTTCACCACTTCACCGTTCAGATTGGTGAGTGTTCGTTTGTTTTTTTGTTTTTTTTGGTTTGGTTTACTTGGATGTTTTTCTTGTATTCATGATTTTGATTCCAATTTTTATGCAATGCAATGGTTGTGTACTTGTATAGTTGTATTATGTAAATTCTTCTCTGTAACTTTTAATTTTGGTAATTTATTTCGAGGATATGTTTTTAACTAGTGTGTGTTTTAGAGCCTAGTAATTTATGGTTCTTACTCACCCAATCTCTCTCTTCTGAATTCAATTTCTCAGCATGTCATTGTTCAAGATTTTGCTTCATTATTCAAGACACGTCAAATTGGGTCAAATAAAATTGCTCAACAACAACTCATCATTTTCACATCTCACCCACCAAAAATTAAAAAAAAAAAAAAGAAAAAACGAATGTGCTTTCGTGATGATCGATGATGAAGATTGATCTGCCTTTGCGATGATCTGATTTGATGTTGATAATTTTGATTTTTGATGGTCTGCTGGTTTTAATCTGGTGTAGTTGTCTTTTTATGATCAATAAAAGAAAAAAGGATCTAGTCATCTGATTTTTTGATGATGTGATCAATTTGGTTATTGAATTAGAGTAATTAAATTAGAGTAAGAAAAAAGAGAGAAGAATTTCGAACAAGTTGAAGCAATAAAGCAGCTTCTGAATTGTGATAATTGTCGCCCACCAATATTTTAAATTTTGTTTTCCCTTTTTTGTTTTAAAAAAGAAAAATTGTTTTCCTTTTTTTATACCAAACAAAAGGAAATTAATTGGTTGTTAATCGTTTACGTTTTCTTAGTAATACCAAACAACTAGTAAGGGTAACACTATACATTACCCTTTCCCCTCCTAATTTGTTTCCATTCCGTTACCTTTACAAAGTTGATACCAAACGCCCCCTTAGTTTCATGTGGGTTTTTTTTTTAATTTTTATTTTATTTTGGGGTAATTTAGTATGAATTAGTACTTTTAGTTCAACTTGAAGAGTTGATAATGATAAGTGTCATTCTCGTGTAAGAAGAATAGGAAATGGAAGTTTTTGTTTATTGGTAAATATATGGTACTCCCACATTAATTATTATGAGATTATTGTAATATATTGATTTTGCTTCTGGGGTAGCTTAATTTGAGCTATAATTTGTTGGGTTGAAGTGGTTTTTGTGCGAATTTGTGTTTTTTTTTTGCTGTTTATACTTAGTTGTTTCTTCTTGTTGTGTTTTTTCTTCTGAACAATGGGTTTTGACTTCTGATTGCATTTTTTCATGTCTATGTCACAAATTTGAGTAAGCTGAAAAACTGACTTGTGAAATTGAGGATATATGGATGGAATGACAATTTCTTTGCAGTTGTAGGGTTCTATGCTGCTGAGTGCTGACCTGCTGTAATGATGTTGCTGCTGCCCTGCTGCTTGTTGCTACTGCTGTTAAACAATTGTTAAAGTTGTAATGTTGAACAATTTTATTTTTTTTTGGGATGAGGTGTTGAGCTTTTATAACTTTGAATTATAACTTTGAAGTTTTAGAACTTGTTAATGTTGTTTAAATCTCATTAAGCATTTATGCTACTACATATGTTGTTGAATATAATATTTATATGATTTAAGCCCACAAAAATTGCAGATTAAATCCCAAATAAACAAGGCCCAAAAAAATTCGGTTTGGTTCGGTTTTCTCTTTTGAAACCGAAATTTGTATGGTTTGGTTTGGTTTGGTTTGGTTTCAAAAGTAAAGTGGTGCGGTTTGGTTTCCAAAAACCAAAAACCGAACAAAAATTGCAGATTAAATCCCAAATAAACAAGGCCCAAAAAAATTCGGTTTGGTTCGGTTTTCTCTTTTGAAACCGAAATTTGTATGGTTTGGTTTGGTTTGGTTTCAAAAGTAAAGTGGTGCGGTTTGGTTTCCAAAAACCAAAAACCGAATTAGTGTGGTTCGGTTTCGGTTTGGCCTATAAACCAAACCGAAAACCGAACTTTCACCCCTATTTATGAGAGAAGAAAATTAAAAGATGAACTGAACTGAACTGAAATCATTGAAGCTGAACTAAACTGAAATTAAGGTTCAGAGAACAAACCCTTATTCCCACCAAAAAAAAAAAAAAAAAAAAAACTTACCATTTGTTTGGACGTTTGGTTGTTGATAATATATGATGGTAATAGTAATTGTTAAGCAACTTTGTGAATCAAATTTTATGTCAATATCCCTGTTAATGCTAGTCTCTAACCAAATATTTCATTTTCTTCACAATTTCCATTATCATGACTGACCATTTAAAAGGTGATATTGCGTCCGGAATTTGTGAAAAAGAAACACATATTTGTAAATGTAGCTCCATAAACATGATGATGATCATACCATACATATCCATTTCCATTTCCATTTCCATATATGGTCCATTATATTCACATCTTCTGAATTAATACTTATAAATAAATTACTGTATTAATCCATTTCGATCTAATAAGTTGTAACATGTTTCAATTTGATTCATGGATGTGCACTCTATAATTTATCATCTTACAATCAAGAGTAATAGGATGTTTGTGTCAAAAAAAAAAATGAATAATAGGATGTTATAAGTTCAAATTAGGCCCAAGTTTTAACAAATTCAATTAGGGTTGTTCTCTAGTCCAAGATTGAACCAAATCAATTTTAAGACCGAAAATTGAATATTTAAGGCCAAGAGATTAGGCCGGTTGTGTTAGGACCAGACCCAAACCAAATAGATGTCGATATGAAACTCGTACCATAGTTTATATCGGTTTTTTGAAGTTTTCTTTTCTTTGTTTGGTTGCACAAAGAAAATGGGGGAAGTGAAAAATTATGGGAATTTGCAAATGGATAAGTTGTTTGGTAAATGGAGGAATTTCAAATTCATGGGAATTGTGACTCACTGACTCCCCACAAAACGTGGGAAGTTAATTACCTAACCCCTCCAGTTAACTCAAAATCCTCATGATTTGCAACTTCCTTCATTCTAGCCAAACAAGTTTAGACAATTCCTAGGAATTGAATGTAGATATTTAATTTCCATGAAATACAAATTGCCAAGGGATGATGGGAAGTAAATTTCCTTATCAAACAAACTAACACCTTATATATGTATTTCTACTTATATGGGAAGCAAGAAGAATATAAGTAAATTATATAAGCAATTTTTAAGTTAAAAAAAAAATAAAATAAAAAATAAAATAAAATAAAATTCTAGAGGTTTATATAATAGAAAGATCACCTTTGAAAGTTAATATCAAACAACGATATACAACACAGTATTTATTAATGTGATATCTCATTCACAACGATCATGATTTTATCCAATTAGAATATTATCTGAGTCAATATATGTTTCACTTGCTTCTTTTGTTTTCTATCGGGTAGATGTATGTATGATGGTTTTATCAATCAACTAATTTTACTTTAAAAAAATCCCTAAAGACAAACACGTAGATCAAATGCGATTAACATTACCTAAAAAATTAATCCAATTTAACTTTAGAAACGTTTTGAAATTCCCATTTGGATCGGAATCAGGGAGTAAATAAAGAAAAGTTAACTTAATGAGTAAGAAACAGTTAAAGTAAAAGAAATTTTAAGTTAATCGTATGTCTTTGTTTTTTATTTTAATTTTCTTTGGACTTTTTTTTTTTTTGGTTGTCAATCTTCAAAATAATGAACAATCTAGCCAATAGATTTAACTAAAGTTTTGTTCTTTTTATGAAATATATTTTGTATCATATAACTTTCAAAATAAATAAATTAAAATATTAAAAATAAAAAAACGAAAGCCACAGTGATGCCGAGCAGACCTTCGAGGTTTATTTTCTTAGATCATAATTAAAATGACAACAAAATTTTTTTAACACCTATTTCGCATTGATCAAATTGTGGACATGAGTGAGAAAACTAAGACAACATAAGAGTCATCGTTGAGGATTAAACTAAGTTGATCTATCTAGGCACGACACAATATAACAATATCTAGCCCAAAAAAAAACATGGCACATACATGATGTAGTCTTTTTAAACATGCAATGACACATTATTGCATTGTGAGTGCCAAGATGTGAGCCTTAGCCCCCGGACTTAGGCACTCAAGCATGGGATAACACATGGGCTAGAGTCGTATGTACATGGGTTAACCATTTGAAAAAAATTTGGCAAATTTATGTACCTAGCTTGTGGAACGGGCTGTGAGGCGTGATCTAGACATAGCTAACCCCAAAAGCACGTGGGTTAGGCACGAGGTGACAACCATCTTTTTGTAGATTGAGTCACCAGTAGAAAAAACGCATTAGGCAGTGGTTCAAATCCGGTCTAAGGCACCGGTTTGAACCGCTGCCTATTTGAGGGGTGCCAAAAACCCCCTATTTGGCACCGGTTCAAAACCGGTTCCATAGAGTTTAATAGGCACCGGTTAACCGGTGTCATAGGGTAGAATAGGCACCGGTTAACCGGTGCCTAATACTGCTCTCCCGCCATTTTTTTTTTGGGTGGTGGATAGTTTAAGCACCGGTTCCTGCCTAACCGGTGCCTTTTGTATAATTTTTTTTTTCGTTTTTTTTTTCAATCGTGCAATAATATTTTTAAAAAAAAACCTGCAATAATAATACCCTGTAATTCCAGCAATTATATTAAATATAATAATTAATAATTTTATTATTATAATAACTAATAATAATATTATTAATTATTATATACAAAAATAATATTAGATACAAGAATTCAATTATATATATATATATAGATATAAATATTCCCAAACGCAATACAAAAAAAAAAAAGTTGCTTACATATACAAATAATAGTAAGTACACATATATAATGAATAATAAGTTAACATAAATAATTTACAATTACAATGCATGCCATTTACATGTTGAAGGTGATGAAAGACGCTAACATGTCACGAACTTCATTAAGCTCCTTGATTGTCAACGGACCATCCTTTTGGACCTTGCAAAACTTGAAATACAAAAACATTATTTTAAAAATAATTAATTAGGCAAAAAATATGTATTTTATCAAATATTACCTATACGACTTCTATATAGCCCATTTACTACATTACTTATCAAATGAACTATTTCTTTCTCATAACATTTCAATATTGGATAGTTGTATGTGTGTAAGCCCTAAAATTGTATAGGAGAGCATTTTATTACGGTTTATGACGGTATTTACCAAAATGGCCAGAATATGGCCTATATGACCTTACTTTGCCCATTTCCTACATTTCTTATTAAATGAACTTTATTTATCTCATAACATGTCAATATTATCTAGTTATAGGTGTATAAGGAAAGAAATCACATTAAAAGAGCATATTAACACAAAATGGCCCTAATATGGCCCATATGACTTCTATTCAATCCATTTTCTACCTTTCTTGTGAAATAGCCTTTTTGTTTCTCATAAAATGTCATTGTTGGATAATATTAGGTGTCTAAGGCGTGAAATCACATCAATATAGCATTTCAAGAAGTTTTAGGACTTACCTCATCAAGTTGTTGAGTGTCCGTACAATGAGTCACAATGTCAAGCATAAATCTCATCACATACAAAGCACAATCAAGTCCATTCTCTTGTTGTGCGCACTAGCATATGACAAACAAATCACATCAGTGAAACATGCAAAGGAAATGAGCAAATATTTATTACCATAGATTTTCAAGATAATCACAATAATATAATATCATGTAAATTACCAACGGTGTCTTCCATGTTGGACCAAATGACAAGCACGGTTGTGAAGAAAGTTCATGTCAATAGAGAGCGATTGAAGAACAATGTCTTCAACAATTGGAGTAGGTGGCATGGGTGAACCTTTCGAAGAGTGCAACTTCGACGCTTGTTCACTCTTGGACTGTTGTTCACTAAGCTTCTTCTTAGGTTGATCAATTCTTTTAGGCTTCTCCACCCTCTTTCTCTTTGAAGTTTTGCTTCCATTGGAAATCTGAAATAGTTTGAGAAATAATAAGTTTCAACTCACAATCACTTATAATAGCCAAGTGAGTAGCCATTTCGGGTCGAAATGGCTTTTTTTGATGAATTGGACCCAAAAACTTAGAACTTGACGATTTTTATGTAATTTCAAATGAAAAACACTTATAAATATGTGATTATGAGTTGTTTAGAGATGCAAGGAGTTTATAAGTTGAGAAATGAAGAAAATAGGCAACTAAGTAGCCATTTCGGGTCAAAATGGCTTTTTTTGATGAATTGGACCCAAAAACTTAGAAATTGGCGATTTTTATGTAATTTCAAATGACAAACACTTATAAATATGTGATTATGAGTTGTTTTGAGATGCAAGGAGTTTATAAGTTGTGAAATGAAGAAAATAGGCAAGTAAGTAGCCATTTCGGGTCAAAATGGCTTTTTTTTGATGAATTGGACCCAAAAACTTAGAACTTAGAGATTTTTATGTAATTTCAAATTAAAAACACTTATAAATATGTGATTATGAGTTGTTTTGAGATGCAAGGAGTTTATAAGTTGAGAAATGAATAAAATAGCCAAGTGAGTAGCCATTTCGGGTCAAAATGGCTATTTTTGACGAATTGGACCCAAAAACTTAGAACTTGGCGATTTTTATGTAATTTCAAATGACAAACACTTATAAATATGTGATTATGAGTTATTTTGAGATGCAAGGAGTTTATAAGTTGAGAAATGAAGAAAATAGGCAAGTGAGTAGCCATTTTGGGTCAAAATGGCTTTTTTTGATGAATTGGACCCAAAAACTTAGAACTTGGCGATTTTAATGTAATTTCAAATGACAACCACTTATAAATATGTGATTATGAGTTGTTTTGAGATGCAAGGATTTTATAAGTTGATAAATGAAGAAAATAGGCAAGTAAGTAGCCATTTCGGCTCAAATGGGCTACTTTTTGATGAAATGATGAAAATTGCTTTAATTTTTTTTTTTTTTTAAATGCAACGGAAGCCGCACTTGGACACTCGAGGGAGGCGCCCCCGCTGCCGGAACAGTGAAGGCAGCCCGTGCCGAGGCCACAGCAGCCCCGACAGGTGGCTGCCAAGGCTGTAGCAGCCACGGCAGGTGGCTGCCAGTCTGCTGCAGCCTCGGCAGCCGCCTGTCGAGGCTGCAGCAGCCCAGGCAAGCTGCTGTCGAGGCTGCAGCAGACTGGCAGCCACCTGCTGTGGCTGCTACAGCCTTGGCAGCCACATGTCGGGGCTGCTCTGGCCTCGTTGGGGCTGCCTTTGCTGTTCCGGCAGCGGGGGCGGCTCCCTCGGGTGTCCCGGTGCGGCGGAAGTTGCTTATTTTTTTTAAAAAAAAAATTGAACTAGGCGATTTTTATGTAATTTCAAATGACAAACATTTATAAATATGTGATTATGAGTTGTTTTGAGATGCAAGTAGTTTATAAGTTGAGAAATGAAGAAAATAGCCAAGTGAGTATCCATTTCGGGTCAAAATAGCTATTTTTGACGAATCGGACCCAAAAACTTAGAACTTGGCGATTTTTATGTAATTTCAAATGACAAACACTTATAAATATGTGATTATGAGTTTTTTTGAGATGCAAGGAGTTTATAAGTTGAGAAATGAAGAAAATAGGCAAGTGAGTAGTCATTTCGGGTCAAAATGACTTTTTTTGATGAATTGGACCCAAAAACTTAGAACTAGGCGATTTTTATGTAATTTCAAATGAAAAACATTTATAAATATGTGATTATGAGTTGTTTTGAGATGTAAGTAGTTTATAAGTTGAGAAATGAAGAAAATAGGCAAGTGAGTAGCCATTTCGGCTCAAAGTGGCTTTAGTTTGATGAATTGGACCCAAAACCTTAGAACTTTGCGATTTTAATGTAATTTCAAATGACAAACACTTATAAATATGTGATTATGAGTTGTTTTGATATGCAAGGAGTTTAAAAGTTGAGAAATGAAGAAAATAGTCAAGTGAGTAGCTAATTTACCTCCTTATTAATCAACTTCACCCATGCACGTGGCCAATCAACGAAGCTACCTACAGCTTGCCAAAGCGCTGTTATCTCAACCTCCTCTATCGGTATGGGTAGTGGGATGTCTTCGAACCCCGCAACCATTGAATCGATCCCAACCGAGTAATGATGTGGCCCCGCCGTAGCACCCGTCGTCGGTTGGGCACTACCATACGCCACCAAACTCAACACGGTACTATTTGCATGCCCCAGGGCTAGAAGTGCACACCGGGTGTCTTCCTACACAAGTATATATATAAAAAGAAGATAGCTAAATAGGACTTTTACAACAGCATTGATATAACAAAATTCATTAAGGTAGAGGGTTACAAATCATCTGTAACTCTGGGAATTCATGCGGTGTTGGATTTTCAAGCTCCCTCGAGTCCGCATGTGTAGGAGTAGGAAGACATTCAAGAACAGTCCCAACCGGGGACAGTCCCAACCGGGGACTATTCAAGACTTTCTCCTAATGAGAAAGCCTTGAACGGGTATCTAGACATATGATGATGCAATTCAAGTATTCTATATATTGTTGTATTTATTTGCAATTAAACAATACACAAGTTGCAATTTCATGAATAAACTTTTATTAAATGGATGAATAGAAAGAAATATATCTAAGTAAAGTTTAGTAGTCATACCAATATAGCAACTACCCACTTGAGCTCAATATGTAGTCCTCAAGCTAATTAAACTCTTGCTTCAATTCACAAATAATCTGTTAAAAAAAACACATCATTCATTGAACTAACAATTGCTAAACTAACATGTCAATTCACTAATTTATTTATAAGTTAAAACACATCATTCATTGAACTAACAATTGCTAAACTAACAAGGTTACTAATCTCTAATTTTTTCAAAATTACCCATCAAAACAACTTAAAAGTAACCATTCACCCATTCCAAAATTCATCTACTTTAGTAACAAGCAAGGTTACTAATCTCAAATTAATTCAAATATACCCATCAAAACAATCCATCAAAACAACTTCAAATTAACCATTAAAAGTAAAATACCAAATTTCACCTATTTAATTAAGTACCAAGGTTAATATATTTTCTATAATTATTTCAAAAGTATCCACCAAAACACATTAAATTAACCATTTAAACACAATAAAATCCAACTAATTGAGTAACAAGGTTACTAATCTCTAATATTTTCACAATTTCCCAATTATATTCAAACCTAAAATTGAGAAAAATTATATTCAAACCTAAATTTTAATTTACTAACAATGGTTCAAAATGCAAAACAAATAATTAATATATATAATTATATAATTGGAAAATAATGTTAAAAAAAATTAAAAATAACCTTGAACAATTAGGGCAGCAGCTAGGAGGAGACTCGGTGGTGACCCTCAGGCCGGTGGCGCGGCTCGGTGGTGGAGGAGCCTCAGGGGGGTGGCGCAGCTAGGTGGTGGAGGAGAAAATTAGGGCAGCAGCTAAGTTCATAATGGAGGAGGCGCAGCAGCACTCACGACAAATGGAGGAGGACACTCAGGCTGGTGGCGCGGCTCGGTGTTGAAGGAGCCTCAGGGGGGTGGCGCGGCTAGGTGGTGGAACAACCTCAGGGCGCGGCTAGGTGGTTTATTTTCGAAAGAGAAAGAAAGGGAAAACAGAGAGAGGAAGGATTGAACTAGGCCGGTTTTCGAAACCCCTGGTGGCCGCCGGTGAAGGTGACGGCTGGTGGTGGAGGGAGAGAGAGGAAGGATTGAAGGATGAGCAGCAATAAAACAGTAATTAAGGAGGGAATTGAAGAAGGAATGAAAGAGAAAGAGAAGAAAGAGAGGAAGGCGAGTCCGCGTTTTTTTTTTTTAAACGGGTCCGGTTCAATTGGCACCGGTTCAAACCGGTGCCATTTTAATTTTAGGCACCGGTTCAGGCCAAACCGGTGCCTTTTCTCTTCTTCTAAAATCCCGCCCATTTCTGGACCGGTTTTGGGCACCGGTTTAGCCTGAACCGGTGCCATATGGGGGGTGCCTAATGCTTTTTTTTCTACTAGTGAGTAAATTTTCCTTGGCCTCTCAAGCCACTTAATTGAGCATTATTACTTACAAATGGCAAATGGATTATTTGAACTTGTAAAAATTATTAAGACAACTTTTGTAGATGATATAAGACCAATTGTATGAAAAGAGGAATAAAACTAGATCTTATATCATCTACAAAAGTTGTCTTTAATTGGTCTTGTATGGACCCGGTCTATAATAAATTATTGTAGACCCAAAATTTGACACTTTTAAATAATATAATCACATTCTGGATGATATAATCACTTTTTTAGATGATATAATTATCTTTTTGTGAGTTATATTTTGAATTATATAATCTCATATTAAACTATTTAATGAGATTATATAATTATGTTTAGGATGATAAAATTTAAAAATCATATTTTAAAATGATGTAATTTACTATTTGATACTTTTTATAACGATAAATTCACTTTTTAAGTTATACATTTACATAACAGCTTCAAAATAATATAATCACTTTTGTAGTAATATAATCACATCTTGTATGATATAATCACATTCGTATTGTATACAAGAAGGTTGTGTCTACAATAAGTTATTGTAGACCGGGTCTATTCTAGTCTTTGTACTTTTCATAATTTAATGGTCTCTTATCTAAATATCTAGGATTTTTTTTTGCCAAACATTATTTATTAAAAATTTCATAAATATTTCCTTTTAAGTATATAATGCAGACCATACTTGTACAATTAGTTGTCATATATATTACTCCGTATCATACTTTATTTTGTAATACGTACCCATTTACATACTCGTCGTCATGCAATCTAGGTTAAAAGTGATTTCATGCTAGATCATGCATAAAATCAACCTTACAAATTCAATAGCTGGCAAACATTATATAACTCCAACTTGATAAAGTTTAACATTGGATACTTTCATGTTCGATCACCCCAAAGGAAGAGAGCACTCATGTTTGTAACATTGACATTTGATAGCAAATTTGAATTGATTACCAAAATACTGTTATAAGTACTATAGATTTTTCCCAGTCACTTTTCATTGTTACTGGTCACTAGAAAGGAAAATATTACCCTTCATCTTTGCCTTGACAAATTCAGACATTTTCTACTATTTTGACCTTTAATTTTCATGTTGTCCTTCCTCCCCAATTTTTGGAATTTACTACATTCCATTCTTTTCGATTGTGGATTGCTAAGGGCCTGTTCTAATTTACTAAATTGAGCTGAACAAAACTGAATATTTTATGGAAAAAGTAAATTAGGAACTGAATTAATCTGATTAGATCTTAACTGAACTGAAAATAAGCTGAATAGAACAAGCCCTAAATCATACCCACTTTTAATTAAAATAACCCACACTAGGTTGATTTTTTATTGCAAATGTATTTCAACATGCTACTAGTTTGGGGACGAATACAACAGGGACCTATTAAACACCGATCCAAAATTAGGAGACATACATATTTAATAACAAATCATAAGATATAATGCATGATGAAAAGAGCATCATTTGTTGAAAATTATTTATAGAGTAATTAAAAACAAATTTCTATGTTGAACATTATTATTGATATGAGAAAAAGAGAGTCGGCTATGCAAGGGAGGAGAACGAGACATTGGTTAAGGGAGCGAGGGAGAGAGAAGCACTAGTAAAGAAAGAAAGTAGGATAATAGATGATTTATGTCCAAGCTAGTGTTCACCAATATAAAAAAAAATCGGACACAGTTTTTACTTTTCTCAAACACGTAGGACCTGTTCTGATACGATTATTTTCAGTTCAGTTCAGCTCTAATAAGTTCAGTTCAGTTCAACTCTTAATTTCCTTCTCTTATAAAATATTCAGTTCAGCTCTAATAAATTCAGTTTAGTTCAGCTCAGTTCAGTCAATCAGAACAAGCCTGTAATTAGGTTATTTCAAAAAACAAAAATAAAAACACGTAATTAGGTGTGTTCTACATACATGATACGTGGGTATTGAATTGGACAAAGGGACATTATTCCATATGTGAGTTTGATAATTGCATGTTATTTTTGTGTTTTAAGTTCAACCTCTTAAACATATCTATTTTGTCTTACTAATTCAATCCAAATGTAACACCAAAGAATAAAAAATACAAATCCAGATAGATTGTTAATAAGAGTGATACACGCAAGTAGGTTGTTGAATTCCATAAACCACTATGGAAAAATGAGTCGTAGTATCGTAGTCAACCCAAAGCACATGCTAAATTGCATAAATCCATGTTAAAATGTTCCCACTTTTACAATTCGTTAGTTCTTCGATTACCTACTTCCAACTTCAAGTCTTCAAGTACTCCTACTTGTTATTATTTCCATTAATTAAAGTGGTGTAACAACAATGTCAAAATTTTTAAAGACAACAAAAATCCACCCCTTTTTTATAAACTAATTTTCTTGTACCACTATTTTACTTGTATTGTTTTTATCTCTGCCATGCACGCACTATCGTTACAACTTGCAAACAAGAAAGCATAAAAACAAGGAAAAATAAAGTAATTATAACGTAAATATAATTTAATAATATGATATTCAACATTGGTATTGTAATAATTTTAATTGATATTTGATAGTATAGTGCTTTAATGAAAACATAATCATATGAGATATTGTAATTTGGCTAACAGTTAATATTTACTTGTTGAATCGTGCAATATATTGTTAATTAATAAAGTTATACTCCATCATACATTGACAATATGGAAAAAAAATCACCCCTATTTCATAATTAACTAAAAAGGAAAAAAGTATTATATATAATTCAGTATTAAATAATCTTGTTATAATTTTTATTATTGCAACAAACTAATAAGTAGTAAGGAAGCTCATGGTTTTGTATTAATTTTCTTCAAAAATAGGGGATTTGTTAAACATCGCCCGCAAATCTCCACATAAAGCCCACAAATTAGACATGGTTTGACAATTTTGCCCATTTTTAAAATCGTACCCAAAGTGAACAAATCTCGATCTAACAAATGTGGAGTCGTACTGGGTTGCCCAGGGAGGCCGGAGAGGCGAGGGTCGCCGGAGATACGTCGTCTTCGACGGAAAACGAGGTGGCGCCTAGTTTGGACGCCGGAACCATGGCAAGGACGTCCAGGCAAGGCGCCACAACCAGTGCACTGGCGTCCAGGTCAGACGCCACAACCAGTGCACTGGCGTCTAGCCCAGGCGCCTCAACCAGTGCACTGGCGTCCAGGCCAAGCGCCACCACCAGTGCACTGGCATCTGGTTTGGACGCCGCCCTTACTTTTTAATTTTTTTTTTTTTGCCTTTTTTTTTTTTTTTAAATTATGTTTATTAAATTTATGTTTTGATTTAGGATGTGGAAATTTATGTTTTTTATTTGATTTTATAAAAAATATATATACTAGACTTATAAAAAATAACACATAAAATTAATAAATATTAAAAAAAAAAAATCAAACACATTAAAAAAAAATTAGAAAATTTTTCTGATTTTCCAAAAAAAAAAAAAAAAAAAAATTAAAAAAAAAAAAAAATTAAGGCACCTGGGGCGCCTGGCCAGGACGGCCCGTGGCTGGTGGTGGCGCCAGGTCCGGCAGCCACGTCCACCGGCCTGGCGTCTGGGCAGGACGCCCAGCCACAGTGATTGACGCCTGTCCCAAACGCCACTCACCGTGGCTGGGCGTCCTGCCCAGACGCCAGGCCGGTGGACGTGGCTGCCGGACCTGGCGCCACCACCACCTTGCCGCCACGAGCCACCACTACCTTGCCGCCACGAGCCAACCACCTTGCCGCCACGAGCCTCGACATCCCCGTACTTTGATTTTTATTGAGGTTGTGTTTTTTTTTTAAGGTCAAGGGCAATATTGTAACTTCAATATAAGTTTGTGGGCTTTATGTGGAGATTTGCGGGCGATGTTTAGCAATCCACAAAAATAGTGGGTCTCGGCAATCCATGGAAAGTGACAGTTTAAATTGATTCATGTTAAAGCTTATTTGAGGTTCTATTCTTAAATTGATTGGTAATAAACATTTAGTTGAAAAAATATGAAAGATCATTGCCTAGGCCTCTCATAGGTAAGTGTAACTTTATATGGATAAATCTAATACTTATGTTCAACCTAGTAACACACTTGATTGCAAGGAAACGTACATTTTGAAAAAAGATCGTTTTTCCTAGAATATGTTACTCATTATGGTCAATTAAACAATCACCTATCGCTCTTCACTGGTACTAAATTGTGGTAATTATAATAAATTTTAAGTGTGATTTAACATTGAAAACAACCTAATGTCTAATGAGACCTCAATCTCATCCATACAATTTGTATTTTCTTCATAATTTTCCATGACCATCCATTACTATTTGGGAGCTGGTATTATGTGAAAATGAATTTATACAAAAAAATAGACAACTTAGCTTGGGGGTCATTTTGAGTGGTCATGAGAATGAAGATTATTATTATTATTATTTTTCTAATTTTAATTAAATACAAATTCATTTTCATTTTCATTTCATTGTTCATATTAGAATCACGACTTAGGGCCTGTTATGATTGACTGAACTGAGCTGAAATGAATTAAACTGAATTTATAGGAGCTGAATGAACTGAATATTTTATGAGAGAATGAAATTTAGAACTGAATTGAACTTAGGGTTTGTTCACATTTACTGAACTGATTGGAGCTGAGCTGAACTGATTGAAGCCGAACTGAATATTTTATGAGAGGGGGAAAGTAAGAGCTGAACTAAACTGAACTGATTGGAGCTGAACTCAACTGAACTGATTGGAACTGAAGTGAACTGAACTGAAATTAAGTAAATGTGAACATGCCTTTATTGAAGCTAAACTGAACTGAAAATAATCTGAAAAGAACATGCCCTTACCTAATAAAAATTCCGTTTTTTTTTTTTTTTTTTGAAAAGACTCGTCTTTCAATGCACGAGCAAAAGTAGGGGTCATGGAGTTTGTAGATTCCATTGTTTGCTATTATCTTCCAAATAGATTTAAACAAACAATAACAATAATAATAGTGTATGCATCTCCATCTAAAAGCCTAATGAAAAAGTTCAAATTTAAAACAACATTCACTATCTAGCACCTTACCGTTCTTTTTGCTGGAATTACAATTATTTGAATTGCAAATCAGAATGGGACAATTCTCTAAACACTTTCACTTTTAGTGCTAATAATTAGTGCGGAGTATTTTCAAACTATAGTAGATAACGATAGATATACAAGGGTCCAAAAATAAGCAACTTATTGATTTTTTTTTTTATTATTATTATTATTTTATTTTATTTTTGCGGGGGTCACATTTAATGATGTAAAGGACAAAATAATTTGAATTTGTTTTAAAAAAAGAGACATAATTTGAATTTTGCAATTTTACTAGAATAAGTGTACGTTGAAAATACTATGGAGTACTATATATGCTGATGTAAAAAACGTCTCCATGATAAAATAGTAGGCAAACAAAATAACCAACATGAAGATATTACTCCTTATTTGGTTAATTACGGTTATTTTTAAAATAAAATACTACGAAGTTACTTTGTACTACAATATTGACGCATGAATATAAAGTACTCCCTCCGGTTTTAAATATTTGTTCTACTTTTTTTTTACGGTCGTTTTTTAATACTTGCTCTATTTTCTTATTTGGAAAACTTTTAAACTCCGTAATATTTAACTCATTTCTCTCACTTAGTGGGACCTAATTTTATTATTTTTAGATTCTCTCTCCTCCAATTTACCTTCCACTCACTCCACTAACTCTATATTTTATTATTTTCTCTAATTTTTCCTAGAACTTCGCGCATGAGAAATAGAGCAAGTATTTAAAAACGGAGGGAGTATATCCGAAATGGAAATTGTCTATGTCATCTATGATATTCTTCCTCCAAGACAATATCAAAGGTATTCTTGTACTTTATTGTAAAAACTAATTTATGATATAAATAAGGGTGTGTTCATTTCAACTGATTTTCACTTATCTGAATTTATCTTATCTTACATGAACTTACCTGAACTTATTTCAACCGATTAAACTTTATTAAAACCTATTTTACTTGTAATTTATATTGGATAATCCATATCAGAATTTATTTTTCTTGAATTGAACTTATTAGAACTTAACTCTACTCATCTGAACTTTTTACACCTAAAATAAGTGAAAATAAGGCGAACATAACGGTTCCCAAGTGTCATCAGGCCTATCATATTAAATGAGCTATATCATTCACTTCATGTGGTATTCAAAGTCACCTAATTCTCTCTAGATCAAACACTAACCGTATCTGATGTATATAGAGTATCATTATATTGCTCCCATTTTGGATGAGTTGTACTCCGTATTATTCACTTCATAACTTTGTGTTGTGCTAATCTAAGGGTCTGTTCTCTTTAGATTATTTTCAGTTCACTTTAGCTCTTAATTTCCCCCTCTCATAAAATATTCAGTTCAGTTCAGCTCAGCTAATTTCAGTCAATTAGGACGGGCCTTAATACTCCGTAATGAATATCAAATCATTAACGAGCAAAATTTAATGAACATAGTATTGCTTCCACCGATGTATATAACAATGCACTTGTTAATTAAATCAATTACACAAATTAAATTATATGCTACGAGGAATCTTATGGTATTAGGTTGTGGAATATTATATGCTCCTAGGTTAATGTAATTTCATGGTGACAGTTAAACGTGTCTATCTACGAGACTACGAGGTAAAAACAAAAGGAAACATAGCTTATTTAAGACAAACTTGGAATCACATGTAATAGAGTAGTGCGATTGTGCAAAGAGGTTAAATAGAAAAAACAACCTTATAATATATATCCAACTATAATAACATTACTTACATAAAAATAAAAAGATCCAAAAACAATGAAAAATGACTTCTCTTAGCGTAAAATCAAACCTCCAATAAAACCAATTGATAGAGAAATTGGAGGATCCACCATTAATCTTAATTGGGTTAACACTATTTTACATTTTACTTGTATATGCTTTTACAATCACTACCTACCAAACTTGACTATACCCCTACACTTGCTCGAGAAAATGACTTTTCATACTTCTCAAACTTAAGAATTTATGGCCAATATACCACATATTAATCTTACTATTACATGAAATATCTGATTTTTTATTTGTTTGGGTCCTATTTTTTTATTCATATTGTTTTTGTACGTTTTTTTTTGTTTTTAGGTGAATGAACTATATTGTAATACAAAGTAAATCATTTTTTTTTGAGAAAACAAAGTGGCTTGTTCTCATACGTTGAAATTCAGTTCAATTCAGTTCGCTTCAGTTCAGTTCAGTTCAGCTCCTAATTTCCTTCTCTTATAAAATATTCAGTTCAGTTCATCTGAGTTCAGTCACTGAGAACAAGCCCTAAACTATTTGAGTATACACGTACTAATACGTACATTTTGTTTATTCTTTCTATTTGACCTAACTAACCGGTTCAAAAAAATTCAAAGTTGTTAGTCATTGTAGGAACAAAATCCAAGCAATTACTCCCATGTTGGCCATGTTGGTCAAGCTTTTCATCCAATTTAGCAAATTAAAACTGAAATTACATAGATGTACAATAGAAATATGTGAATTGACAATCATCACTTTTAATAATATTTACACACTTATTCAGATATATATATTTTTCGATAATGCTTCAAACAACCACCAAAGCGTATATATTATTGGACATATTGTTTTAGTTGAGAAATAGGTAATGGACTCATCAAAATGATACAATAATTTTTTCAATTGGTCTTGCGCGGCACCTTCTCAATTCTCATCATAAGATCAGGAGGTTAGCAATGTAATACATTAAAACTTAAAAGTTAGGACTATAATGCATACCTATCCCACAAAAAAAAAAAAAAAAAAGAAAAAAAAAAGAGGATTATGCATGATAAAATTAAAGAAGAATGTAACGTCAGAAGAAAGAGCATAGTGTTTATTAATTTGAAAATTCAAATCCAATTCACAATCTAGAATTTTCATCTTGTCAAACAGTAGTAGTTAAAAATGATTGCTAGGAAAAGATTAATTGAAATTAAGTATATACAGTTTACGTAAAAAGACACTCACTAAAGAAAAGTTGGAGGTAATTGCCCACTAATCAAGCTTAGTCTTCCATCAAAATTGTCACCTTTTTTTTTGCCATTGTCATATCAACTAATGGCCCACTATAAGTCCCACAAATTAATTAGCATAAGTCATTATTGTTATTAAAATACGAAGTATGATGCCATACATTGCTAATTTGCTATTAGCCCACTATTTAAGAGTTTTATTAATCCTTCCACATTTATTAAATATTGCCCCCATTTTTCATTCTAATTTAAATTGTCCCTCAAACATTACTTACTCCGTCTATATGCTTTTTGCCTCGCTCATTGCCAAGGTCAAATTTTAGTAATTGTAACGGAAAATTCTCGTTAATTAATATTCTATAAGAGATAATATAATCAGGTGAGATTTTAACTATGTGAGAGTTTGTTGGATTCACCTTGTTATATATTTTCTAAATACAATACAAATAATCATATATTTATAATTTTTACATATTAAAAAATAGAGTATATACATTTAAAATGCGTCTTAGATACTATAAAAAGTCAAATAGGGTAAAAACATATGTGTTAAAAGAGAGTTAGAAAGATAAGTGCAATTAGATGGATCTTAATTCTTGTGCTATTTTTTCTAAGACGGTAACCAACTTAATCATCCACACGTCATAAATAAACAATCGAACAGAGATAGAACAATATTTTAAAAACCGAACAAAGTATATAATCATAAACCATTAATTGATTATAAATAAAAAAAAATACTAAAAAAAGGCAGCTATCAGCCTATCACCTTTAGACCCTCGTTTGAAAAAACGTTTACACCCCCACATCATCAAATTTTCTCCCATTCATTCTTATGTTTACGCTACAACTTCTTCCTCCAAAATTCCACCCTTTCAACCCAAAAAAACAACACAACTTAAAATTAAATTAAACCCACTGAACCCATACTAGATCCGCCACTGTACTCGAAAACCCAGAAATGGTTAAACCATTCAAACTAAACATTTTCTTTCTCATAAATTTCTTCATCTTACTATTATACTCATCATTTTTTCAATCAATTTTAGCAGAAACAGAGTTAACAGCTTTAATGGATATTAAATCATCTTTAGACCCAGATAATAAAATCTTAAAAACATGGTTAAATGATGGTGACCCATGTACTGGTTCATTCGTCGGAGTTGCTTGTAATGATCACCGGAAAATTGCTAATATTTCATTACAAGGAAGAGGACTCACCGGAAAATTGTCGCCGGCGATCGGAGAGTTGAAGAGTTTGTCTGGGCTTTATTTGCATTACAACTCTATTTCCGGCGAGATTCCGGCGGAAGTTGGTGAACTAACTGAGCTCACTGATCTTTACCTAAATGTTAATAATTTTACGGGGATTATTCCTCCTGAGATTAGTCACATGACTAATCTTCAAGGTTAGTGATTTTTTATTATTGTTAATTAATTTTTTGAATTGTTTTTTTTAAGTTGCTAATTAATAATTAGTATAAATATTAATTTAGAAATGCGATTGAATTATGTAATCATTGTTTAATTAAGCTTAATATATTATTTTATGAGTAAGATAATTAAGAGCTGTATATATCATTTTCCTGAATAGTGAGATATTCCGAACTCGTATTTTTTTTTTATTGCTCATGTAGTTAAAGTGTATTTCTTTATCATATAATTTCTTGTTTTATTCTTTTTTTTATTTTTTTATTTTTTATTTTTTTATTTTGAGAAAGAGGGATAATTTAATTTTGTTTAATGTTTTAGAATTTTGGATTCTTGGATATTCTAAATTAGAGAGGGGCTTTTCATTTGAATTTTTGGATTTTTTTGTTTGAGAATTTATGGCAAAATACAGTTGATGAATATCTTGAGTGTTGTTAGCAAATTTGCATGATAATGAGTGATTTGTCTTTCCTATTGTTTTTAAAAATTGGATTTATTTAGAAAGTTTAATTTTTAGTTGTTGGAGGGTTTTAATTATTGAAGGTTCCCTTTCACCCCCTTATGACACCGAGGGTGTTGCTCATGTGGTCAAGAGTAAAATGAGGTCCATCTCTTGGTTCTTGCTAGCTACATCACTATGTAACTGTACCTCTATGTGCTCCTTGATATTTTTTGCATGTACATACGCAACATTGATGTAAGATTAATGTTGCGTACGTGTTATTTTGTTGGGGGTGTAACATTAATTATCAATGACGCGATAAAATTGTACACAAATTCATCATTATATCAATTTATGACTGTCCTAAACGAGCCTTAAAAAATAAAACTACCCCGTGATGGAAATTTGATCAAGTTCCATCCAAACATGTACCATATACTTCGTACACATGATTTCTCTCGATTGGTACACTTACAAGTTTGATCTTCCTATTCTTTTGGCTGATTAATCTTCTGAAATATTAGCCTCAGGTGTAGCTGTTTTCTTGTATAATTCGTATTTTACAAGTGGCATACATTTATAAAATGGAATTAGTTTTGTGTACATATCTTCAGGAGATTTGATGTTTAGATTGAATAAAACTTGGTCTATGTGTTCATTTTTTGAGCATTAGCTTAATTGAATTCTTGCTATACTGCAGTGCTAGACCTATGCTGTAATCGCTTGACTGGCAACATTCCGGCACAACTAGACTCCTTGAGTAAGCTTGGTTCCCTCTCTTTACAGTATAACCAATTAGATGGTTCAATTCCTCCAAGCTTGGGCAGCTTGCATGTGTTAAAGAGGCTCGACTTAAGCTATAATTTCCTTTCTGGACCCATTCCTGCAACCATAGCCAACATCCAACAGCTTCATATTCTGGATGTCCGGAACAATTCTCTCTCAGGAGCTATTCCGGCCTGTAAGTCTGAGATCTATCATCTTAAAAAGCCTAACTGCTTATTGTGAGGTGAAGTTGATTTAATTTTGTTTTTCTGGATGAAAATGCAGCATTAAAGAGATTGGATACAGGATTTCTATATGGAAACAATACAAAGTTATGTGGAGCAGGATTCCTTTCCTTGAGAGCTTGCACTGCCTTGGACAATTCAAATGTAGATTTCAACTCACCTCGGCCATTTGATTTAATCTTCAAAAACCACACAACACCGAAGCATGATGAACCCAAGAATGCAAGTTTCCAAACCAAATGTAGCTCTACTAATTGCTCAAAATCAACAAAATTCCCTCAAATTGTCATTGTTGTTGGGGTTATTACAGCCTCAGTAACAATTGCAGTAGCAGGATTTTTGACATTTTTTAGATATAGACGGCAGAAACAGAAGATTGGCACCATGGTAGAAGCCTCTGAGAGTAGGTTCAGCACTGACCATGCTATTGATCTGCAGAGCAAGAGCGCCTCACCGCTGGTCAGTCTAGCATACTCCACAGGTTGGGATCCACTGGCAGATGGTTTAAATAGTGGAGACCTCTCCCAAGAGGCTCTTCAGAGCTTCAGGTTCAACTTGGAGGAGGTGGAATCTGCAACACAGTACTTTTCAGAAGCAAATATGTTGGGAAGAGGGAACTTCTCAACTGTTTACAAAGGAGTTTTGAGAGATGGATCTGTTGTAGCTGTTAAAAGTATTAGTGTTAATAGCTGCCAGTCTGAAGAGGCGGAGTTTGTGAAGGGGTTGAACTTGCTAGTTTCACTCAGACATGAAAATCTTGTCAGCTTGAGAGGGTTCTGTTGCTCTAGAGGTCGGGGGGAGTGTTTTTTCATCTATGATTTTGCTCCCAAGGGAAACCTTCTAAAGTATCTTGATGTAAACGAGGGAAGTGATCTTGTTCTTGAATGGTCGATTAGGGTTAACATCATCAATGGCATTGCCAAAGGTATAATCACGTTCTTCCAAGTTCTTAAAATAACAGTCACTTCATAACCTAGTTCATATTGCCAAATAGGACATTTTCATCTTAAAATTACTAAATACTTGTACAAACTTCTTTCAATTATTACACTCTTGCTTTGCTTGTATATCTTGAACTAGTACTAACTTCCTTGATTTTCATGTCCAGGTCTATGTTATTTGCATGAAAAGAACGATAATAAACCTTCAGTGGTTCACCAAAATATGTCAGCAGAAAAAATAGTGATAGACAACCAATATAATCCATTGATCTTGGATTCCGGGTTACGTAAGATACTAGCTGATGACACAATCTTCTCAGCACTCAAAGTAAGTGCAGCCATGGGATACCTAGCCCCGGAGTACATAACCACAGGTCGATTCACTGAGAAGAGTGATGTATATGCATTTGGAGTGTTGGTCCTACATATTCTATCCGGGAAGCAACAGCTAACAAATGCAATGAGATCAGCTGCTGAATCTTCCAAATTGGAGGATTTTGTCGACCAAAACCTCAACGGGAAATTCTCTGTGACTGAAGCCTCAAAGTTAGTGAGACTCGCGTTGAATTGCACACATGAGCTTCCAGATGAAAGACCATACATGGAGGCTGTAATCCAAGAGCTAAACAAACGCAATAGTGGTTCTTGAAGGGGCTTAAGTGCAGCTTACAGCTGATGATAGGCATCAATGGTTTCCTTTGGCCTTGGAGGCTTCCTTTTGAACCACTCGATGAGAATCTAATGAGTGATTTTAGTTAAGTTTTTGACACTTTTTTTCAGGAGGTCATAACCTAATGTTGAGAGTGTAAAGATTTGTAAATTAGGCTATTAAAATATAGAGCATCAAAATGATTTTTGCCTTGATTGATTCTGTGATAATTTGAGTCTGCTCTAACCAGAAATCTGAGGACACTCCTAAAACTAAACAAACAACAAAGCAGCAACAGCGGACCGTGCCTCAACCATGCAGGAGTAATGGTATCAAAGGTGCAAATTTTAAACTAAAGTTAGAGAAAAGAAATGTAATTCATCAGCTACAATACAGGCAGAATGTCTAAAAACTGGCAATACCAACAAGTACAGAATTAAAGGGAAAAATAAAAGCAAGGATTTATAGGGGGCAATTAGTCAAAAACAGATTTTTTATTCATCTTGCTGGGTTCAACATATCTTCAACGGACTACATTTTGTTATCCAAAGAACTATCTATTCTCGACTTCTCGTTAATGGTATCAGTATTCTTCAAAGACGTAGACAAGTAGTATAATGTTTTAAAAAAAGTCACTTTATTTCCACTACAACAGCTGGTCTAAGTCCTATAGATTGAAGCTGCAAAACTTACTCAAAAGCAATCCAAGACACAAAGAAAAAGAGGGCATTGGAGCACCAGAAACTCAAGCAGTATCAGCACGCTCCTGATTATCAAGAAACCACTCGGCTGGCCACCATTTGGGTCTAATAGCAACAACCTTCACATCTTCATTTCCTTGTATAGCAAGTGCACTAGATCCTTTGAAGGCTTCCTCCAAACGCAGAAGACCTAATCCACGAGACCCAAGGGCAGTAGTCACAGCCCCGACCTTCTTGCCTGATGATGCATTTACCACTACCGACTTGGGAGCGACTTTCTGCTCTACCTCTGTTAGAAGAAAGATAATGAGGATATTCAAAACAAACAAAAAGGAAAACTAATAGAAATTTTTGCAAATAGAAACCAGGCTTACCTTTGCCGTTATCATCAAGAAACTTCAAAGGAAGCACACGTTTTCGGATGACACCCCGATGATGAGTTCGAGCAACCAATTCTTGTCCCACGTAGCATCCCTTATCAAAACTTATTGCATTAAGGCCTGCAAGATTGTATTCTAGAGGAATGGCTTCATCTGCAACATACAAAGACAATAATCGTATTAAGGTTTCTGAGTTAACCAATGAAATTGTAGCTCACTTCCAGTAAAGGATAGAAAAGATTCCAAGTCTACCAATAAACTTAATTTTAAGGGAAGGAAGCATAGCAACTTGAGACCAAAATTTAACAATTTCGATTCAAATCTAAATGTCCTCAATGCATTGTTGACATGAAGGGTGATAGGAGTTTTCCAAATACATGCTTGCATGCTGCAAAGCCAGATTAAAGCAGGAAAGGCAAAAAAGGATGAAGATATCATGGTAAAAGACAGACCTTTTGGGATCTCGTTTGGACCTTCTGCAACCCCTTTCTCTAATCTCCATAGCAGATAATTTTCTTCAGCGACTTCTTTGCCAGCCTCAACCAACGGAGCTGCAACAGCCAATGAACCTCTATTAACTCATTTCTTCACTACCTAACATCTAAAGTTAATTGTTGGATACTTGGATACTGACAGTAAAGCACTAAAAGAGAATATCTGCTTCTAAAATAAATTAAATAAAACTCACGTGGAGCCCCGGAGGGAAATATCCCTCTAAAGCCAAGACAATCCAACCTTGGATCCTTGAACCACTGCCACCCCCTTTCACTCCCTTGAGCAGATGACATAGAAGAGCTATCAATACTCCCACCATAACCTACACCAGCGACCTCTGGTTCTTCGACAGATGAAGATTTATCAGACAAATTTCCACCAAACCTTTGCCAACAACAGAATTCATCTCCCATGTGCTCAATGTCAACCTTAGACCTCAACCGATATCTACAAGATTATGGCAACACAAAATATCAGAGGGTGCAAACTGGAAATAAAAGGCAGCTAAATCTAAAGTAGCTTACTCACCAGCCCAACTCAAGATACACTACAAAACTCTGCCTTTTGACAACAATCATTGGCTGGGTTCTGATGATTATAAGCACTACTTTGTATAAGACACAAAACCTATATCAGACCATACTCATTCACTGATCAATGCCTTAGTCATATCTCTCCATGATACAAGCTCCAGGTAGCGAAACCAAAAGATGGTTAAGCAGCCAATGATTAGGCAACTACTTCGAGTCTAATTATTACCAAATATTACTAAAGTTCAACTGCGGTAACATACTTGCTATTCGTCATTCTATTGCTTGCCAAACCACCAGAGCATCGGAAATAATTGAAACTTTCAGTAACAAAGTAATACAAAAATCCTTAAGAAAACCAGTACCCAGGTGGCATTACTCTTCTGATCTCGTTGCGCTAAGTAAATATTTAAAGCAATGCACAACTAAGGCTCCGTTTGATTTAGTGGGATATCGCCCTTTTCCTTTGTTTGTTAAGTTATAGGTGGAAAGTTACCATCTTTGATGAGAAAAATCATTTTCCTTTGGTGAAGAAGGTATGCTACAGTTCCTCTTACTCCTTACTTATCTATTTCCACTCCTTATCCTTCCCCTCCCTTTTACTTCCATTTCTTTTTCTCTACATGTTTTCTTATCATCAAGCAAACAAAGGAAAACCCTTTTCACAATCATGTTTTCAATAGAAATTATTTTCTTTTTTACAAATGACAATCTATGAAATATGGTTTCCATCAGAACAAACAGAGCCTAATACTAAAAAAAAAAAAGTGTATGATCATGCCTTAAATAAACCAAATATCTAATTTAAATACCACAGTAAAAAATAACCTGCCTTTCTTATAGAGCATACCCTTAAGAAAACCAAAAAAATTAATCTTTCAATACCAATATTTTTTTTTTTTTTTGACAAGATCAATACCAATTCTACGTGCAAGTATAATCAAATATTTCGTACATTGTTACTCTGTCCATTGAGCAATTTTTTTTTTTTTTTAAATTCGGTTTTCAAGACACAATTTTGCGCATAATGCCAGTCAGATTCAAACAAACGCACACAAAACACAAAACTTCTCACAAGCATTTCATCAAACACCATACATGCAACAAACAGAATCAAAACAAACCAAAATCCTCACCTCTTGAGAGTTTCAACTAGCTCATCCACCATCGACCCATCAACATCCGCAAACAACCCCATCTCATCATCCCTTGGGCCGGGCCCAGAGCCCGTCGGGTCAAGCTTCTCATCAAGGCGAGGAGGTCTATAGAGGAAAAAATCAAACAAAAACCGACCTTGAGGGTTCAACAATGCCGCGTAAACCGGGCGAGTTCCGACAGTGGGCATATTGGTGGACGCCAAGTTGGAGACTTTGTCATGAACAGAATCATCGAATTGGCGAACATCATTGGTGAGCAAACCTTGAAGGAATTTGACGGAGTCTGGACCGGTGAACCGGATGACGGACCGGGATTTGAGGCGGGAGGAGAGGGGACCCACGTCTTGGAGGTGGGTGTTTTGGGTGGAGAAGAATCTGAGGGTTTGATGGGCGAGTTTGTGGCGGGGCATTTTGGGGATTTCAGATGTTCTGGTTTTGGTTTTGATGGAGGAGAGAGAAAATGGAGGTGGAGTAGGAGAAGGAGGAAGATGAAGGTGAGGTGGGAGGAAGTGATGACACGTGGGAGTTTGGGAGAGTTTGGGGGTGTGGAGATGGACACGTTTGATCAGGAGAGAAGAAGAAGAAGATGCTCATAAGAGTCATAGGCATTGAAATTGGAGGGAAATGGAAATAGAGAGAGATTAATTGAGAAAGATTTAAGATACTTCCTCCGTTTTATTAATATTGTAACAATGGAACTTTTGCACTATTCATTATTTTTGTTTGATCATATATATATTATGATTTATACGTTAAGTAAAATATAGTTATGTTTGAGACCCTTAGCTTGAATCAAATCCAACGTGATGTTGATTGACTCAATTGAGATCTAAAATCGATTATAATTTGACACAACCTATTAACACGTTATAGTATACCCGACTTATTCTGGTTTGTAATTCAATATTATCTCACCCATTATTAATTTTACCCAAAATAAAATGAAACCAAAACTAGATGTGCATCTTTATACATCCATTGTGCCAATATAGTGTAAAGTCTAATACATGTAGGTGAAACTTTTAAGTTAGTGATTTAAGATAAGTTCTAGTATATTAAGCTACCATTTAACTAAGATAAAATTTATCAATATTAAATGTAAAAAACACCATTTGGCAAATTTTTATATGGTAGGGTTACTCGAGTTACTCGGTCAGGGGTTCACTACTCGAGTTCTCTGACTAGGGTTACTTGACTTCTCTGGTCGAGGGTTACTTAAAGGGTTCGGTCAAGGGTTATTCGAGGGGTTATTTCAGAGATTTGATCAGGATTTACTCGATCAGGGGTTACTTGAGGGTATATTTGGCCAGAAGTTATTCGGTCAAGGGTTACTTAAGGGATTTGATTAGGGGTTACTTGAGAGATTAATCGGTCAGGAGTAACTGAAGTAACCCCAGCCACACAGAAACCCTCCCCCCTCCGTTTTATATTGTTCAAATTTTTGTTTTGATGTATTTTAAAGCTCAACTCAATTTTACATTATTCCCCCCCCCCCTCCATTTTATATTGTTCAAATTTCTGTTTTGAATTTTTGATGTATTTTAAAGTTCAACTCAATTTTACATTATTCTATTTATGCCAATATGGTGCTAGGATGATTTTATCCTTCAATATGTAATTAGTAATCTTAAACCAAGATCACTTTTACGTTATTTAGAGGCTATTCATATTTGCATAATTTGCTTGAATTATCTAATAATGGAAGGGTATTTTATGTTTGTTAGCCTACGACGATGGACTAGCCACAACCAAAATTAAGGGCTGGGCTTTGCCGTTTGGATCGTTGGACAGATTTAAGATTCGGCCTATCTTGCGTATGAGCGTATGGCCCAAGCCCATTTCACCTCGCACAAAGAAATTTGCTTGGTTTTTGTTTTTTTTTTTTAGTTAACTTTTTAAAGCAAAATTTTTAAAATTTTTTCAGAGAGTTATTCATCTAGACTTAATTAATTCTTTTTAATACATAGTACTTTTCTTTCCCAAAAAAAAAAAAAAAAATTTAAACACTGCCTTTGTTCTTTTTTACTTGGTCCGCTTTAATTTTTACACTATTTACCAACCTTCCTTGGTTCCTTTGACTGCCGTTTGAGAATTATATATAAGGAAAAACATATTCATGCGGAGTCTTGTTAGAATTTTCTCAATATGAATTATCATAATATACAACTTTTTAATTTTTACTTATGTAGAATTAGAGTTATTGATAGTTAAAGTTTTGCAATGATAAGCGTGATAAATAAAACAGGTCAAGTAAAAAAGAGTGGAGGAAGTATTTCTTATTTACAACAACCATTGTAGTGTTCTCTTTATTTCATGTCTAATACTTCCTTTGTTATTATCACATTGCAATGTTTAGAGTTTCATGCTTGCAATGTCAATGTATAACATTAACATCTTTGAGGACACTAACTATCTTTATATATGTAAATCCATAGAAAGTGGATATTTTAAAAATTCTTATAAATTGCGATGAATCTAACCAAATCCTACAAAACTATTATTTATTTTAACGTATAAATCACAAACTATAATTAAAGAAGTGAATTGTATAAATTTTAATTTCAAATGTTGGGATTGCAGAAAGAATAAAGTATATATTTGCAAAATTGGTTGAAATGAATGTATCAATAAAATGGCATACTACATCTATACATGAATTATGGAAGTATATGGATGTATCATGCAAATACATAACAATTGAAATAGTGAAACTATAATCATTGAGTGTATAATATATTGCATTGTATGATGTCTTTCACACATAACATGTGCAATATGCTTATTTGTTGTAGTAGTAATGATGATTTCCTTATGATTCATTTGTTTGAATTTAAAAATTCAGTGTGATTATATTAGAGTTGGGAATATTGACTATATTCCAATATTGACAAATCTAGCTATTTGCAATCCTAAATCTCAAAAGCTCAAAATTTCAAATGTTTGCAATTGAAGAAGTTGTTATAGTTGTTGATCTTATGCTTCATGTACTAGTTGAAGATCTATCGAAATCCAGCAAAAATATGCGATAATATGAAACATGCGATAATATTAGAAAGAATCAAATAACAACTTCGTAAGTTAAATCAATATCGTTCCAATAAAATCCAAATCGAGTATTGACAATAGCAATCTTATTTCAAAAATTTAAGCAAAATAGAATTTTCCGTCGCCATACTAAATTTATCATTGCTATTTTGATTTCAGCAACAACATTAAGATTTTAGTACCATTTTGAGTTTGCCAAATGTAATAATGTGTCTAACAAAGACTGAGCTCCGATCCATCATCAATGATACTATATGTGATATGATACAACTAAACAAAATCCTAACAAATGTTTGTTAGGAGAGAATTAACAAGGAGAATGATCGTGAATTTAGCTAGTCAATATTTTTACGACAATGAAGATATTATTCAACTTACTAAATCAATGAAGATAATTCAACTATTACTTCCCCATTGGATACTATAAAATTAGTTAATATATATATAACAAGTCGTCATCATTCACTGTAATTCAATTCAACATTGAATAATGATAAGACTCTTGCCTTTTTTATTCTCCCAAATGGATAAATAAAATGTTCCTGATTAATATGGATGCAAATTGTGTACTCGGTCCAACTAACGTTACATAACTTTTTTGAAGAAAACCGGTCCAACGTCTCAACTCATCTAGTTTATTTCATCTTTAGTCTTTACCCCTTTTTCTCTCTATATCCACTTATCTTAGCTTTATAATGTATTTGTTGTATTTACTCCATTTTTAAGATGCATTACTTTTAATTTGTAATTGCGAACTCCTAATATATTTTTATTAATATTCAACATATCTAAGCCTGGTTGATTATACTCTTTTTTATTATATGATTAGCAAACCCCACAAACCTAATGAATGAAGATTTAGTCTAAAATTTGTCCCAAACACTATGACAAAAAAGAAAAGTCTTTGACAATTTCAAATTCATATTCTTGATATGGTAAAGTTGCCTATAATTTTTCGTACACATTGACATGGTAGCATATATAGTGGATAAGAATCACAAATGTGATGTGTGAGATGTTTTTCACATCTAACTTCGTTGAACAAACATCTTCAATATTATACATTTTTTTTAATGTTAAGTAATATACTATTATTTCACATAATATTATAATTTTAATCATACATTCAATTTTTGACTTTTCAACATAAATAAATCCAGGCGTATATATGTTGAAAATCATTACTCATCAAAGATTTAAATTAATAGCTCAAGTCATTCCAACTAAAGCAAAGGCTCTCTCATGTCATGAAAGATTCCCATAGCAACTATGTTTCCAAAACAATCTTATATTATCATTTCATTAGATCATATTTACCTACTCTAACTAATTATAAAACATAATTTTCTTTTATAACTCTATCATAAATTAAAATTATATATAATGTCAACATTTTTGTGTCGTTTAGGTCATGTGTAGAAATAACATCCATCAAAAAATTGAGCCTATCGCTTTTGACATCACATAATAATTTTATATTATAATATGTCCAATATTAGATATGTACGAAATATTATTTTTTAGCCTTAATAAGTCTAACGCAAAAAGGACGTACCACAAAGGACAACTAGTCCAATTTTTATATTTCTATTTTAAAAGTTACCACAATGATAGCTTATATGGCTACATGATGATAAGCTATCTAACCACTTGATAAATAAAAAATTCTTTTGAATTAATTAATTATAGAGTTATCTAGATGTTTAATCTTAGATTATGTCAAATTTCTAAGATTGAAACGTGCTACGACAGCTAGCTGCTAATGTATATATTTTACAGTTAGTTTTCAGTACATAACTAGGGTAGTACGGAGTAATTTATTTGGCTGGCATCATATATTGTAATTAGTCTAATTAATTATACACTTTAAGTACAAAACAAGTTAGCAATAACTAATGATAGTATATGTATACCAAACTTGACTGATCTAGCTAGATCGAGATTATATCTTTATTCTAGTTTTATAGTTGGAGGTTCAATCCCTATTAAGGACATTTATATTCTATTTGAGGGAAAGATCTAGTTATATAAAAAATAACTTATAATCCGATTTAAAGCAACTGAATGGCCGGCTTTGGGCAGGCTTGCAAGGGTGGCAAACAAGCAATCCCGACCCTGGCCTTATCCTTCCTCTTCAAAATAACTAATCTGTTAACGTGGACATGTAATTCACTAAGTTGACCAATACGACATTTCGACCCACTCTCTTATAAATAAACAAGGTTACATACAAATAAATAAAAAATACTCTTATAATAAATCAACCACACCGTATAACTTGCCACACACAAGACTCGATGTACTTCATATGGTGCTATTATATATACAAATTAATTATGTTTATTAATTATTATTTTTTTTTATAAGGAATTATGTTTATAACTTGTATTTCATATTTATAGATACTCCGTTGGATTCAAATTTTTATCCATTATTTACTTTATTAATTTTCCTTAATACTATACCAATATATTAATTCTTTTTGACTTGTGGCTGCTGAATTGCATGTTGTTGCACAGACTTTAACTGACATTAAACCATTAAGAATTTTAAAATTGTACTTAGGAGCTTGTTCTTCCCCCTTCTCCTCTGAAGTTAGCTGACAATTTACTAATAATTCTGGAACCTACTTGACTTAGAGTCAATGATATACACCTTTAATCTAATTAGGTGTATTAGCGCACGTTTTTACAATCAATAATTCGAATGCTCCATGCGTGAGTATTAAGCTATACCTTTGTCATTTACTGCATTATTATATTATTGTTAAATCTACAACATGATA